AGGAAGGAAGGAAGGAAGGAAGGAAGGAAGGAAGGAAGGAAGGAAGGAAGGAAGGATGGATCACGAACCTCATCCACTCGTATTTGCTTTATTTCAATAATCACTGCACTATAAATAGCTTTTAAAAGATGTACTTTTATGTGTATAAGCATGGATGTTCAAGTATGTACATGTATCACATGCATGTCTGCTATTCACAGAGGCCAGAAGAGCGTGTGGGATCCTAGAAATAATGGGTAACCATTAAGACGCCATGTGGGTACTGGAAACAGAAGCTGGGTCTTCCGCAATGGTAACAAGGGCTGGGAACTGCTGAATCTATCTCTCTAGCCCTTGAACAAGAATTTTAAATGTCTTTTTTTTTTTTTTGAGCCAGGCTCTCACACTGTATCTCAGGCTGACCTAAACACTTGCAGGATTCTCCTTGCCTCAGACTTCCAAGTATTAGGAGTAGAGGTGTTAGCCATTACTTTTGCCTCTATTTCTATTCATCATACTGTTCAACAGTTCCTCACAGTTCAGAAAAGAATCCCTGTGCTTACAGTACCTTAAAGCCAATTCTAGAAATTATCACATTTTGTTTGATATTTATCACATTTTCATTGATATTTATGAGGTACTTTTCCTCTTAAATTTATGTTGAGTGTTTCTATCTTCTAATAGTCCTATTGTTCCTACAAGACTGGACATCTTAGCATAACATCAGAGTTCAGAAGTACAGAGCAACTGTCCTCAAGCATAAAACAGTCGGATCTACGAGACTCCAGTGCAAATGGGTTAGAAGCAGCCTGCTCACCAATGCTAATGGGAAGAATGTTCTTCCACAAATCTTGCAGGGCAACAATTCTCCAACTTGGACAACACTTCCATTTTCTAAAACATAAAAAAAAATCCAATTAGAAATTTTCACAAGTCAAATCATAAAATTTCAGATTTAATGTTTTTTCTTAGCTCTCATAGGTGAGTTAGAGCTCTTATTTAAAAGTTTCATTTTAAAATGAGCAAAATTATCAATTAAACTGGCCTAAGGCTTAAGAGTTGTCAGTAACCTAAAAGACAGTAGTACGCACAAAACAGTGACAATCCAAAGAAAACCAAATTGATATAGTTGGAAATAAATAGTTCTCTTTTAATTACTTGTGTCTATTGTAAGTACAAGAATCCAGAAGCAGATCTATCTTGGCAATGCTCTAAGGCATGGAGAACTACCGATTATGAGTAGCCAATCACCTGAGCTTATCTGGGAGTCTAGAATCAAAAGAATCCTATTTCACTTATCAACAGACAAGTGATTTTATGTAAAATAAAAACATCCAAAGACAAGGCCATCTAGTTATGTAAACTGCATGTTATATACCCAATAAATTATTCATTTTTATACATACATGTAACATGTACTCAGTAGGCACAACTAAATAAATAAATAAAAGCTAGCTATAATTTGTATACAACTAAAAGCAGAGCTACCATGTACCATTATATAAGAAATTTTATTGCTGAAATGATTCAAAAGAAAAATAAACCTATGTTCTTTGGGATACTGTGCAATTGATTTAATTAAACACTTTATTTTTCTACCTAACTTTCATACCTGGGTTTTTGTAAAAGTGAATTGGAAACCTGTAAATTGCCTACATATCTTCTGTTGAAATTTCACTTCAAAGTTCTTTATGTATATAGAGAAACTAGGAAAAAAAGATTTTCTGCTCAAAGTAACCAACTCCTGAAAAAAAAATGCAGAATTCACCTTCATAAAATATGTCCTTTGGTCACTATGTCAGTCCACAGAAAAGCATTCTAGTGATCCAGAATGAATCAGCAAGCAGGTACTAAATGCAGTGACAGAAGAACATTTGTTCTCGCATCCTCCTCGTACCCCACTGACCTATTTCACTGGTGAATGGGACTCTCTGTGACTCAGATGGAGGTGAGATGTCTGTGTAATAGTAGTTAAGCTGCACTGCACATTACAAAAGCAAGCCTAAGACTCGCCTGGCGTTTTCCTCCTCTAACACTGGCATTGAAAAGGTCACTTAAGAGGAACCTCACTGCTCTGGACTATGAAGGCTGAAGCAGTTTCCATAAGGAACCTCATTAGGCTCAATACGATAACAATGTGTTTAAATTAATGAGTCAAAGTAACTGGACATGCTTAATAATCTTTTATCCTTCCTGAGTTTCTGTATGTTTTCATGATCTAAAAATTCAATATTATAAATTAAAACACACACAGTTCACTTGGTTAAAAGTACATTTCTTTAGTTGTCTACTTTGTTACAAAGGAAAACCTCCTGACAATTAACTCCTAGGGCTTGTAGGTATGGTTTAAGGTATGTGCTTAGGCGTATCTAAAGCCACAGGTTTAACCCCTGCCCCCCTGCTGCCTGAGCACCTACTGGTTACCAGGCACATGCTGGAGCACAAGGGTGAACCATACAAACATTGCCCTCTAAAGGCTCTACGATCCACTTAGTTACTTATCTATTCAACTCAGCAGCAATGAAATCGCCTCTCATATTTTAGGTAAAAATTTCAAAACTTAATAGCTGCTAAAGCTTGACCATATGATAAAATATAATTATTGGAATTAATCCTTACAAGCCATCGAACATCTTCAACATGTCTTTAAAGGGAAAGACATTCCCACTGTCACTAGACTAAACATAAAAATGAATGCATACAGCAGCAATGATCTCAGGCTATGTGGGATCCATTCCTACAATCCTGGCACTCTAGAGCTGAGATGTGAGGATCAGGACGTTCAGACCAGTTTAGGCTCCTTAGCAAGACCCTGTTTTAAGGATGCAGTGGAGAGATAGTATCTTAATTTTCTATTGCTGTAAACATACCATGACCAAGGCGATTTATTGAGGGCTTGTCATTTCAATGGGTCAGTACATGACTACCCTGGCAGGGAGCAGGCAAGCAAGCAGGGCAGGCTTGAGCAGTAGCAGAATGGGGGTGGGGGGACAGACACACAGAGAGACAGAGACAGAGACAGAGACAGAGGCAGAGAGCGAGTGAGCTAGCTGATAATGGTAAATTGCATGGGCTTTTGAAACCTTAAAACCAGCCTCCAGTGACACATGTCTCCCAACAACCACATATGATTTCAAAACAGTTCCAACCAGAGACCAAGTATTCAAACATGTGAGCCATAGAGACCAGTCTCAGGCAAACCGTCACATTCCGTTCTCTGACCTCTATGGGCTTATAGCCATATCAAATTGCATTTAGTCCAAATTAAAAAATCCCTGGTCCTTCAATCTCAACAAAGTTTAAAAGTCCAGAGTCTCTTCTAATACTCAAGATTGTAGGAACCCGAAGGGCTGCCATATGCTGCTGTCTACTAAGTAACAACATTCTGCGGTTCCTTTAAGATTAAAAACATCCTGACTAAGGCATGGTCCCCCAGGAAGGGAATTTACACTTGACACTTGACATCCTATTGCCCCCAGTTGAGTTCCTGTTTTTTCCTGAGTTTGTATTTTTCCTTCCCTGGCTTGGTGTATATATTGAACCTGCCCAGTAAAGGCATTGGCATTCTCTCACAACGGATGACCGAGTCTGAGTCTTTCTTTAATCCCCCAGGCCTACGCCGGAGCTGTCACAAGATAATCTCTTAATATTAACCCCTGTAAAAGCAAAAGCAAAGTACTTACTACTTCTCCTTGACTTTGCATTAGCTGTCCTTTGCAGCATACATTTTCTTTTGTACAAACGGGAAACCTAGCAGGGGTGAGTTCTTGCCCAGGAGGCACTACTTTCTTTACTCCACCTTACAGCACGCCTCTCTTTATCTCTTTCAACACAAACCTTGGATCCAATATTACATTTCCTGGCGCTTTTCCTCAGGTTGTATATTTTGTATCTCTTTTGCCCCAATTACTTTTTCCATTGTGTATCTGCAAAATCGTAATTACTAATAACCAAGTAACAGAGTCAATATTAGGCTGTCTTGGAATCTCCTCTATGAAGGAATTAGCCAAGAATCTTCAGTTTAGACTCAGGCAGATTCTTGGGTCACAGGGAAAAACAGCCACATTTTTTGCCAAAATATCACAAGACTGCTCTTTAGCTCCCCTGCTAATACTGTTACCTCTGGAACCTCTCGAGCCCTGCCGTAGTCAACACTGTTCCCAGCACTGTGTCTTCAAAGCGCCTGTAAGGATAGCCCATAAGACTCCACTTACAGCATTCCATCATTTTCCTTATCCAAAGTCCCAAAGTCTTCCACATTCCTCCAGATAACATCATGGTCAGCCAGTCACAGAAATAGCTCACTTCCTGACATCGCCTTCTGTCTTACTTTTCTATTGCTATGAAGACATTACAACTGTAGCACCTTATAGAAGAGTTTGTTGGGGGCTAACGGCTTCAGAGGATTAGTCTATGACAATTGAGCATGGCAGTAGGAAGGCACAGTACTGGAGCACAGTTGCTAGCTCACATCCTGAGACAGTGACTGCAAGGCAGGAAGAGCTTCAACTGGGCATGACTTGGGCTTTAAAACCTCAATGGCAGTGGCATATCTCCTACTGTAAGAAAGCCATACCTTCTAATTCTTCTCAAGTACTTCCGCCAACTAGGGACCAAAGATTAACACATATAGGTGGCAGAAATTTCCCTGCCCAACCTATTTGTAGCAGGAGGCCTATGCTTGGATAGGGAAAATGAGGCGGAGCTAAGGTAGGGAGAGAGAGGAAGGTGAAGAAAAACAAGACAGAGGCGAAATGGTGGCAAAAGTGTATCCTGGTGACTCTAGCAGTCTCAGGTAATTATTCATATCAAAAGGTTAGACAATTCTAAATTGTGTGAGCATCTTGTGAATTAAGATTTACTGATATATAAAACCTTTGGTTAACTATCATCATCTAGAGTTTTGATTTATCTGGTTGCTGGATGGTGTGGTGGCTGATTGTAGGGTAAATGACATGGTATAGGGCTAGCATGACCCTGCCAGTACTGCTCATAGTGCAGGAACATGGAGACAGAACCTGGAGCAGGTGGTCGTGCGGATGCCACCATTAGTGCGGAAACCTAGGCCGGAGGCAGCAGCCTTCCTTTTCTAATGCTTCCCACTACAACTGAGTATATGGAGACCATTCTCTGAGTATATGCAGACCATTCTCATTTTTAAAAAGTCTTTCAAAAGGAGGAAAACATAAATTTCTACTTTCCTTTTGACTTACCAACGTGTGCATGTTCATTGATATCAAGACCTAATACAAATTAAAGGGTTGTTAAGAAAACTAAATTGGGTCTCAAGAACCAGAAGCTATATTTTATTCTATGCAATTATTTAAAAGCTATGACAGTAATGGTAGTATAGCCTAGTGGAAAAATAATTGGAATCTGTCATATACTATCTAACTTTAAATTGCAGCTCTACCACTGGGAACTAAGTTTCTGAGCAAGGAATTTAATCTCTCTGGTATAAAATAAAGATATTAGATTACATGATACACATGGTTTATTCTTTATCTACAACATACCAAAATTTAACAAAATACAACTAAGTTAGTAGGAAATGTAAGTGGATAACAAAACACTTCTCTTATATTTTGCAAATTCCTCAGATGTAAGAATTAATATGCCAATGCATAAGGAAAAAAAGCATTCCAGGAAGTATGCACTATACTGATGAAATCACTCAGTCTAGACAGGACTGAGAATGTAAAGGGATCTCTATCAAAGAAAACATGCTTTCTCTTTGTTACAGGTCCTCACCAACTGAACTAAAAATAAATATGAAGCTAATCACAGCTTAGCACCTGACACATATGGATAATATGCATTAAATTTACTTAAAATTTGAAATTAAGGTGTTACATAATAAAATTATTTACCTTACATAAAGAAGTATTGATACT